TTTGATTTGAGTTCAGTGGATTATTAAGATTATTCTTTTTATTAAAAAAGTTATCATCAAAATTATTGTAGGCTTAACAGGCCTTTATTTGGAATCTAATTTGAGCACGAAGCAGTTCATCTAAAATATTTTAATGATTATGAGTGCAGTCTGTTTTAAGAAATAATGATTTGTTAAAAAAATTTTTATGTGGCGTCATTTTTCATTCATGAAAACATAAAATGCAAAATTTTAATTAAAAACTATGGTCAAAGATCACCAAATGGGTTTGCAAGCTCTTCATATGTTATTATGAACATCATGCAATTTACATAGTGCAATTTTGATTACCAAATTGGTCTTAGGACAAAACTATAATTTTCGGACACATGGAGCACTATTCATGCATGAAAATTTGAATTGAAAAGTTTAATGTAAAAATTGTATCATATTATTGTCAAACTTATTTGTATTTTTTTATATTTGATAATAAAAACATGCAACTTTTAGAATAAAGTTTCAAATTCTACGATGATCTATAGAGAAAACGATAATTTCGCAGTGTTTGTTGATTAATGCTAATTTTTAGATCAAATTTAGGTTTTGGCGGAAGTTGATTATATTTGGTTATGTTTTAGTTTAATTGATTTCAACTTTTGCTTGATTAGATTTTATTTTTTATTTAAATTAGAGGAATTTCAAGTTTCAGCTCAAGTGAGATTCAAGTGGATATAGGCCAAGAAAAAAAGGGTTAATCGAAAAGTGAGGTCAGCAAATTGACCTCCAATATTGTGGCGAACAATACAAAGTACGACAGACATATTAGTATTTAACAAGATGACCAACAAAGTCCAGTGATTGAGGATATTGCTATTCAAGATTCAAGTTTTGAATTGTAGAATATGACATGATTGAAATTTTGATTTGATTGATTGAAGATTTAAAATTTTAAAGCTGTGTTTAGAGATTTTGTTATTTTTACTCTGAGTATTTTGAGAATTTTCAAGTTTTAAAATTTTGTTTTTGGGAATTTTAAGTTTTGCATTATTTTAAAGACTTTTGAAATTTTAAACTTTGATTATTTAGGGAATTGAATTTTTAAGGTTTTTGAGCTTTATGTTTCATCTTGATGGGATCCATTAAAGACTGACACAAAAATTTGGGTTTACCTGAACAAATTAGGATGAAAAGCACAAGAACTCACATTCAACCAAAGATGTGAATAGAGTGATTAGATCATGATAGAAAACACATGGACTCAAATCTAGCCTAGGAGCTAATTGTAGGGAGGCTTTATTAAACCTAAAAATATTATGATGAAAAACACAGGGACTCACATCTAACCAAAGAGACAAACAAGTTAATTAGTTCAGGGTAGAAAGTACAATGACTCACATATAGTCTGAGCGTTAATCTAAAGGATGTTTGATTAAACCTAAACACATTCAGATGGAAAGCATCATAACTCACATCCAACAAAAAAGGTGAACAAAATGATTAAATCAGAATAGTAAGTACAGAGTCTCACATCTAGTATGAGAGATAATTGATACTTTGAAAGTTAACTATGGGCACTGGGTTTCCAAGGGTTCTCCTGTAGTTTTCAATGACTAACACTAGAGCGTAGTAGTACTGACTTTACAATAGATTTACTTAGCCAAAATATTAACTTGCTAGATTAGTTGTGGTGAAAAAAAATCAATGAGCCTAGAGTGAGAAAACATTGTTTGTTCTGTTTGGGTTTCAGTGGTTAAACCAAAAATATTTCTAAGAGGCTGACCCCAAAACTTAGTATTTTCTAGTGAAGGCATTTTTCTATTGAATATCATATTTCAACAAATCAACGAACCCTCAGGATGGTGCCACAAAGGGCATACTTCACCATAGATGAAAGTAAGCAGTCCAAAGATGTTCAGTCCACACTACATATAGATACTTCACTCCTAGCTCTTCAGTGTTTTATGATTGAAACTAGAGTAACACATAAATGCTACACTATATCTACTTAGTCAAAGCTCCAATTTTTTTTAGTCTAATTTAGCTGATAAACAGACAAACCTAAGAAAGGAAAATACTTGAGTTTTGGATGGACTAAACTAAGAAGGGGTTGTTAGAGGACATACCCTTGTATAGATTTACTCACTTAAAGCATTATCCTACATAACCACTGACGATTGACTTGTGATGTAATCGTAAGGTATTCAATGACCAATGCTAGAAAGTATCTTCATGGATTCTGTACTAGACTTACTGAGTCAAGAAATATACCTAATCAATCGGTGTTTCACCAAATGAAGGTATACGAACCCATAGAAAGGAAAGATTGTAAAATGTTCTCAATAAATGAACACATTTGAAAAGGCACCCTTGGTTCAATTCTAGATTTATGATTTTAAAATGTACTTTTTTGAATATGGCAATTCAATGTAAATACCAAATCTTGCCGACCATAGTATGGCATTTCTAACTCTTCATTTTCAACGAGACACAAGAGTAGCTGCACTGGTGCTACAATAGACTTAATCAAGGTGACAACACTTGTCCAAACTAGTTTAGTCAACAAAGCTGATGAACCCGAGAAAAAAAAGAAGATTATTTTATCTAAATTTTCATTTTAACTTTTTGAAAGACTTACAACCCATTGTTAAAGAAGATGATTTTATCTTCGAGGCCAAAGATTTGAATCACACATTTTATACTTTATTTCTCATAATCTTCAAAATATTGTAATTGTATTTGCTATAAACATGACTTATCCTTTGAATTTTTAATTTCTCATAATCAATTTAGAATTCTCATATAATTAGTATAATGTATATTTTAAGTACTATCACTAACTAGTTATAGTCAATTATGAATACTTTCTCTTTCGATAGTACGACACTAGTGATTCATACTAGGTTAAATCCCATTCAAAATTTAATTGTCATTTGGGATTTGAACACAAACCAGTGGTTTGAAGTCAAACTACAAATTCTGGCTCATCAAATTTAGTTCAAACTAAAGTTCCAATAAAAATAAATTCAAATTGATTTTTGGAAATTTTACGCACACGCCACACATTTCTTATAAATTTACATATCTAATACCTAAAGTTTCATAGTTATACTTAGAACACCTTGGTGTCATTAATCCATGATTGAAATATGTGTTTCACTAAAAAAATTAGTTGTGGTGATAACTTCTTTATATATATGTTAATATAAAAAATTTTATATATGGTATAAAAATTTAAAATTATTATGTGATATGAATGTAAAGTACATAGAAAATTTTTGGAATAATTGCATGCAAACTATTAAAAAAATTGATATTTAGAAATTAATTATCCAACCTATTTATCTAAACTAACGAACCAATTTATTTATACGTGCTACCATCAAACTATTGAGAATTTGATAAAAACGAAAATATGTGTTGGGTTTTACCATGAATTTTGATGTTTGAGTGAGAATTTGGAAAATGAATGAAAGAAGATAGATTGATTATAAATAGCAAATTCCGGGAGATATCTATGTAATTGCCCAAGGTTTTTATGAATATCAATTAAATAATTCTAAATAAGAGAGAGAGAGAGAGAGAGAGAGAGAGAGAGAGAGAGAGAGAGAGAGAGAGAGAGAGAGAGAGAGAGAGAGAGAGAGAGAGAGAGAGCGAGAGAGAGAGAGGGAGAGAGAGAGGGAGAGGGAGAGAGAGACTATATTCATCCCAAAGTTGAAAAATTTTATATTTTGACTCTAGATATATCTACATGCGGACTCCCAATAATATACCACAATGTGTACTATATCGGTCCCACCTAAAGAATATTAATGTAGCGTCGCGAACTCCGCAACAATCCTGAAATAACCTTGAAATAACATTCGCGATTCCACTTTATTAACTACGAAATAATACCGTGGAAGTTTTTTCAGGGTTATTTCTAAGTTATTTCAGAGTTATTTAAGAGAAATTTATATATTCTATTTCAATAACAAAAAAACAGCACAAAAATAACCCTGAAATAACCTCTGTCATTTTATTTCGGGGTTATTAAAGTGGGATCGCGGAGTTTATTTCGAGGATATTTCAGAGTTATTTCAGGGTTAAAGTGTAATATATATGTTTTTCTTCAATTATTGAAGTGTAATATATATGTTTTTCTTCAATTATTGAAATATAATATATATGTTTTTCTTCAATTATTGAAGTGTAATATATATATATATATATATAATAACCCTGAAATAACAAAAAACAACCCCGAAGGAACTTCCGCGGCTCTACTTTAATAACAACGAAATAACCTCCACGATATAGCACAAGCGGTGACAGACATAAAATTTTCTCAAAGCACATAGAGCAAAATTTTAAACCACCATATTTTTCAATTTTATCATCTCAAAGTAGGGCTGTCAAAAAAGCTCGTTGTTCGCGAACAGCTCGTGTTCGGCTCGTTCGTTAAGTAAAGCTCAATTATTGGGCTTGTTTACTTAACGAACGAGTCGAACACGAACAGATTTTTAAAGCTCGAATTATAAACGAACCGAACACGAACAACTCTTTATTGGCTCGTGTTCGGCTAGTTTTAGCTCGAAATTAAAAAAAAATATAATTATTAATATAATAATATATTACATATATTATTTATATAATAATATATTATATATATTCATATCTAAATTTAAATCATAACATTCGTGTGGTAATATGGTTATTGTTTTTTTTGTATATATTTGGTCTATGTTCGAATCCAATATTTTATATCTATTTTTTTTAATTTATTTTTTCCGAGTCAGTAACACTAATCGCTAGCCGATTTCAAACACTAAACCAGTTTCAAACTCTAGCTATTTCGAACAAGCACAACAAGAGACAAGCCTGCTCATTCTCGGCTCGTTTACAGCCCTTTCTCGAAGCAAGATTTCAATCCAACTCTTCTCCGGCGAGCTACACTTCGGGGTTCGGCCTGAGAATCCTCTTCATGCATGGCGGCCGCTACTGGCTGCTGGCCCCCCCCCTTTTTGGTTTCCTGCCTTGGTGGACTTTGCAGCGGTCAAACCCCGTAGGTTTAGGAATGAGCTGGCTTCAATGCTCTGCACGAAGGGGGAAGTGCAGGTCGCATTCTTCTTCCTAAATAGTTTACAACTATTGTTTTTAAACACATAACTTGCTTTTAGTATCCAGTTTATTGAATTTTATTTATTTGTTGTAACATACAGATGCATATCGAGGCTAAAATGTTATGGCAGCATCGTCAAAGTGCGCTCATCTAACGTAGATCTTGGAGCTGGGAGTTACGAAGATGGGAGTCGCGAGGACAGCCCAAGGAATCTCGCCAACGGTTCTAATTCTCCGGCTTCTCCTAAATTGTGCGTGTTGTATATGTGTTATTGGTTTGTTCTGGTTGTTTGTTTATTGCATGCTTTTAGAAAGCTCATCTGGAAAAGGGCTATTTGTTTCATTATTTTTTCAGTTATAGTTGAAAATTTTGATTTTATTTGACTCATAACATTAGAAATTGGAGAAATTTGACAGTTATTTGCATTCTTGGGAAAATGTGCCTGAAATTTATTTTGGACCAAAGTATCCGCACTTTTCACCACATACTACTTATTTGAAGCCCACAGAAAATTATATAAGTTCAAACACCATATTTTAGTAAAATTTGGACCATTTTTGAACAATAGTCATACCCCATTAGAATAGAGTTCGAATAGGGATCAACTAGAGTTGAGCATAAGATTGATTATGGTTCTGTCCTAATTGGAACTATATTCAAATAATCTTCTCAAACTTGATTTACCTATGAAAGAGTGCATTCTAATAGCTTTATATAACAAATTGCATGACTTATACAACAGAGTGAGTATAATAATAATAGCTATAATATTAAAATATAAAATAGATGAAATAAGCTATAACTTAAGAGATATAACAAATAGATATATTACAATATAGCATAATTGAAGAGATATAACAAACAACGGTAATATAACTGTAATTCCTAAGATTAATTAACATCCATTTAAACCTAGATTTATCCTTGAATCACATCAACAGGGGTTAGAGAGAGTTGGGTAGCTAAGCATTTGAGTTAAGGTAGGAATGAGGAGGATGAAAAAGATCAAAGAGGGTTTTTCCTTAGCTCTAACGAACGGAAAAATCGAAATAAAAAACAAGATCCCAGTTTACATTTATGGGTTGTTTGGTTGGCAGTTTTATTAGTGCACTATAAAGTAAGTATATGAAATTTAAAATTTAATTTTTTAACATACTATAAAATAAAAGAGTTATGAGTTTAGAGGGTATTTAAGATTTATCTTAAAACTACTTTTCAGTGTTAATTATTTTCGCTCAAATCGGGGGAAGACAAGTATGGGGCTGCTCAAAGTGCTTGTTTCACGCTAAATCCCTTATGCTCTTTCACTTGTTTCACATGAAATCTCTTCATCTCCTATTCCCGCAAAATCCCATTCATTGCTGCAAATAATTTGCAGATAAAATAGTCGGTTGGAGGCCATAATGGTGTGTGAAATGTTGCTCAACCATCACCATTGGATCATTGTAGCTTATCTCAGATCGTCGTTGGCCATTAGGGCTGGAAATGATCCGAGCAGTTGGATAAGTTACTCGTAGCTTGGCTTGATAAGAGCTTGTTCATGTTTGTTTGATTAATGAAATGAACAAGTTTGAACACATTTATAAATACTCAATTATTAAATGAACAAATTTAAAAAAATTCTTATTCGATTCATTTACGTTCATGAATAATATCATTTATAGCTCGAGAACAAGCTTTTTAAGAGCCTCGATGATCTAAAGTTCATTAACAAACTAACAATTAAGCTCCATTAAAATTTGATTTAATGCTTGTGAATAAGATTTGTTAAAGCTTATGAATAAAATTAATTATTTCTCAATTTAAATCTCATTTATATTAAATTAAATTAAATTTTAATTCATAATACATAATATAAGATAAAAGGCTTGTTTTTTTAGCTATTAATTTATTTGTATGCTTGTTTATGCTTATTTTAGTTATTTGGTTTTAATAGTTCATTCAACTCAAGGGTCATTTGTTTTTTATAAGTTCAACAAATAACTCTTTTATAAGTCAAATAAAATTCATCTGATTAGAAAATAAGTAGTTCAAATATAACTTCTCATTAGTTTATTCAATAAAACTCATTTGGTTAAAAAATAAATAGCTTGAATGAACCGATGTTAATTTGCTGGATAAATGTCATTTGGTTAGAAATCAAATAACTTGACAACACTAATCTACTCGATAATGAGTTGATTATTATCATATGAAACAAACATGAACCGAACCGAAATAATCCGAATGACAAATGAACCAAGCTTGAGCATTAGCTCAAAGGTTTGATTTTGAATTTTATAAATAAGCTCATGCGTGAACACAGTCCTACTCGACTCGACTTGATTTCCTTGTTTCCCTACTGACCATTCATAGTTGGACAACTGTTGTGCGATTATTGCAATTGGACTATTTGAGCCC